CGTCATTATTATTGTAATATTATGACCTTTTTCAAAAAATCTCAGAATTTGTCTTCCTCAATTTTCTCAATATGGCCCTAATACAAAATTTCGAGATAAGTTTAGTTAGAGGCAGCTCTGCCTAAAGGACAAAAACATCAAATGTCCCAAGATAACATATAGGTATGCTTGATTGACAAAAAACAAAAACCAGCTCAGTTTCAAAACATATGTCAATCATCACTGGAACCCCGTCATGTCAGTCTTAACAGTTTTGAGAGGACACAAGACAAATAACACCATCCCATCCGGTTGAGGTGTCAGATCAGAAAAGAGAAATTCCACATATTTAACACAATTTTGGTTTTTACACCTGCCATCCACCCCAGTCGCAAACCTCATGAATCTTTGAACAATCATTATAAATGCGCAGCTTCATTCATTTAATATACAATTTACGGTTTGTTTGACACAAACATGCTCTTGACCCTATCAGAAGAAGGTGGACTTACTGAAAGACAACGGGCACCATAATATGAGGATTTACAAATGTTGGCAGCGTGCCTGATTAGGTCGTCATTGAAACATGAGATGAGCTGTGACGAACTAAACTCTTGTCAGCCATGTTTTTTCAGGTCAGGTGCTGCATTTAGTTTTTGTCCTTGATACTTGGTCCATCATAAATTTCCATGGGGGGGCATTACCGAGCGTTTGCCACTTTTCCCCTTCAAAGACAACGTGAGTCTCAGCGTCGGTATAACTCACTGCTCTACTTCCTAATTGCACCTGCAGACACACACACACATTTAATCAGTGAGCCACATAAAGTTAATGCAATAATTCAATTAAAATGAGTGACAGCGACACACACACTCACACACACACACAGAGACACGTGTACAACTTTCTTACTCATGCAGTTGATCCAAACTATGAACTGATTTATTGCAGCAAATCATTGCGCACATTAATGTACAATGAAAGAAATTCACAGGGGACTTGTTGCTTATAACTTTAACAAGCTTGCAGCAGAAAAAATCCACATGAACTTACATATTGTGTATTCTAGTGCCAGACAAATTGAAAATATGCAACATTGCAGTGCGGTATATGATTCCACCTCGTCCATACATGTGCGATGTACGCACATGCAGTACATGGTTCACTTATCATGGAGCTATACTCTGCTGTGGTATACTAAACCCACGCAGCATCTTTTCACACATTTAGCTGAATGCATTACCCTCAGCTATGGATTGGACTTGAAAGGTCAATATTTTTCTGGCACAGTGGAAACTGAAATGAGAGGAAAAATGTGCCGTCCTCAATCTGTCTCAGACCTCTTCCTCACACATACAAAACCGCATCATCCTCCAACCTACACCAGGTTGAGCAACACACTGACCCTCATCGAAAAACTGATTAGAAAGTAATTGTCTTGTCTTAAGTCGGCTGAAATTCTGCTGCTGCCTCATTCTGCAAACACATTCATCCGTAGTAAGTCAATAATATAACATCCCACTGATAGGGATCAGTTTCCTGCCTATGATTTTACCTTATATACATTCATAGCAAATATTTATTATTCAAGTTAGGGTTTGAATGCAGGACTCTTACTTTTAGTAGAGCAATTTTATTTTGGGATGTTTCTACTTCTTTAACATAACGAGACATTTTTGTTGATTTCTCAGAAAATAATTCATGGATCTTGATGTAAAAAAAAATCAGGACGGTTTAGGGAACTGAGTGTTAGATTTATGGTAAAATGAAATGATAAGTAGAGAGGTTTTTTTTATCTTAAAGTGATAAACAACTCTTGTTTTATAAAGGGAGGGGCGCACTGAGCAAAACCCTCAGTTGTCGACATTTTTAAGTAGCTGAAGTACAAAAAGATGAATTTGTGTACAGTATACTTTCACAGATTTAAGAGCACTCGATCTGCTCTTAATTTGAAGTCAAATACACACATACACAAAGATATGTGTTTGTACACCCCGATGCTAACCCATAAATTAAACACCTTCTATTTGGCTCCTAACGCTTAATTTAATTAACATCTTTGGTGCTTAAAATAAACCTATAACATGTCCTCAGTGCCAATATAACAACAACAAAAAGTGTGTGTGTGTGTGTGTGTGTGTGTCTGTGTGTGCTGCAGTGACACAGTGGGGATCATGCATCTCCACACTCAGTCCCATCACCACAGAAGTTCACTGCTTCTGTGTTTGTTTCAGTCTTTACATCTTACCCCCCTCCTCTGCTGGCTCCTCTGAATGAGGGGAAAGACACATTATTTTGCAGCAGCAGATGATGAGGATGATGTTGATGAAGATGATGGCGTTTCAACAGTGACATCAATGGGACAAACACAAAGACTGAAGTGTGTCTTTCTTACCCTTCGTGACTGAAAATGACAGAAGCGAGAAAAATGTATCAGAAAATTAAACAATCTTTATGGGAAGCTTATATTGAAACATTTGTTTTTCAGTGTTTATTATAGTTTAACTGTATAATTGCTGATTAGTGGACGTCTAACTCAAAAATAAATTGGATTTTTGGAGCACAGCTTGTGGCCTCAGATTAGATGTCATCAAGGCACTTACCAGCAGGGGCTGCTGGAGCCTTATCGCCCTTGGCTGCTGCAATTAAACAACAATTATGTAAATTAATTTGTACATTCTCATTATTTCATATCATGCAACACCAGCAGCATAGTGTTAAGTCAAAGTCACAGTTCTAAGAGTGGAGACTCTAAACTGTTTAAAGAGCGGCAGCTTGTGATCTGAATCCTCAGGAGAAGAAAAATCATGGTAATTTCAACACATATCTGGGGGCACTTGTTCGTCATTGAATTCATCTACAATGCTTTTTACTGTATCAAGCTTTTTTACATGTGTGCATTCTCCTCCACACTGTGGACACACAGCCACTCAGCATTTCTAAATCACACCTCTTAAACAAACAGCACAAAATATGCACTTTAAAATAAACAGTTTAATTTGAATTACATAAACACACACTCACGAGCACCCGCACATGGAAGCTACACTCATGCAACCTTGCTTTGTGCACATCTTCTTGATTTCTGTAGGGTTCGCCTCTGGCAAAAGAGAGAATGTTGGATTTCAGCAGGGGAATAGTGCATTATTCAGATGGTTTACAGAACCAGTGAGGCTGAGATAAATATAATAAGTTGTTTCAGAGATCATGAGGAATAATTGGGCTTAAAAATTCTGAAAGTGGCGGCCTTAAGACAAAAGTGCTTCTGATAGGATAAGTACATCAAAGTTGCAGGATCCCAGATCTAGGTTACTTTAAAAGCTCAAGGGTTTCTAATGAGATGGCAGATTAGCCATGTTTCTGTCTGCCAGACAAACTAAAGTGCCTGACTGCACAGTAATAATTCAACTATGGCAGCATTCATATCTTAACCCTCAATTTCATTAATTTCACACAGGTCTGTTCCCTCATCATGACCCCTGTTTAAATGCTTTTAAAAAAAGGTTTCCCTTTGCCAGAGTTACAGTTGAGACAGTAAAGCAAATTAAAAGGCGGAGACCCCAAGAGATGGACGATGACGCCATCTTGACAGCTACAATCTCTCCAAAACCACCAACAACAAGCCACAACTGACCCTGCAGAGCAAGTGTCCCATGAGCCTACTTAACAGTGGGTCTAAGATATCAAGGCTCGGCCTTGGCACTCCGCTTGTGCTTAAGGCTGGCACACTATGTCTGGAATACTGGTGGTGGGGGGGGGGGCAACACTTCTATTTTGGATAAGGTTTTTTTTCAGGCAGCAATCTGTTAATGCTTCTCTCAGCACTTCAGTCCAGGAGGGGATCCGTGACGCACCAGGCAGTAAAAACTTTCTTTAGATTCCTGCTGAAGCATCTATCCCGCACCCCTCTGTTGTAAATCAGTCAGTGAATTTCAGTTTACATACTGTATGTGTTTCTCCAGTCCTCACTTTTTCTTTCTCAGCTGTTTTACCTTGATGTCAAGGTGTTTGCAAGCAGGATTTGATCTCTGACTCATCATGACATAACAGAAAACAGGAGGAGGGTTTGTATCCGAGGAACAATCGTCACCCTGAGAGACGACTGGGGCTCGAAATAAATGTCATAAAATCACCATGGAAACAGATCCCTGCTGTTTCAGATATGTGTGATTAATAATATAACCCTTTCCCAGTAACAACCTGAAATTCATTAGGTGTGTGCTGGAGGACCAGTCCCATTGGTGTCTCGTTAATCCAAAAAGAATATTTCAGGTTCCTAGACGAAATTTTCACATGAAAGACTGATAATAAATGTTATTGAACCCCTCAGCGTTACATCAAAGTGGAATAAAATGTGTCTGCTCAAACATCCCTCTTGTTTCTCAAAAATGCATCTGACGAGACTTTTTTTTTTTTAGATATTTTAAGTTTTTTTATTTTATATGAAGGTGTGAGGACAGTTTGCTCTGTTTCACCGAGCACATCCTTTCATCAGCCCGCAACTGTAATATCATGCTAATAGAAACCTGGCTGAGGACGAGGGAAGAGGTGAGTATGACATGACATTGTTTGATGGTGACAGCATTTCCAGACTAAAAATATACAAATCTTTCTCAGATGTAAAAGTTTCATTTGCCAGTGTACGAATGCTCAGTCAGAGTCTCATTTATAACCAGTGGAGTGGCTGCACGTCAATATAAGCGTCTCTAATGAGAGTTTTGGTTTGCCTGTGTCAAAATTTGAGAGAAAGATGTTGACACATCATGAACGTTAGTGCTATAGAATGTGCTGAGACATTTGCAGTTCAGATTGCAGGCCACATAGTGGATTCTGCAAAAATCCTGCAGTCTCAAAACTAAACTCAGTATAAACAGTATATGAATAAAACAAATATTTTAGTCACGCGATGAATTGGAAAAAACTCCATGAAGAGGTAGAGGAAATTAGACTTGCTAATATCAACAGGCAAACTCCCTCTTTACATCATAGCGTGAAACTATCGTGATGAAACAACACAGTCTGTAACAAACATTACATATAATACCTTTTTACCCTGTGGTGAGGAGCTGTCTGACTGCAAAGAGGCAAGATTGCGAGATTCTCAGCAAACACTGTGCATTTTCCTCTATTATTCCCAGCAACATTGTGTGTGCAGCAAATTGAGTTTTCGCAAAAGAATTTTTAGCCCGTCAAGGTCACTGCTACCCCCTCAAGGCATGATTACATAGGGATTTTATACATGTTATCAGGATCATCCTTTCATATCTAATTTATAAGCTTTTCACTGCTCAGTATTGCCTATTTTTTTCCCATTTAGGTTGTTAACAATGTGAGGTTGGGTGTCTGGCGAGTGCTTTAGAATTTTTCTGTATGTCCCTGCTGAAATACTTTATGCAGATGACTAGAGGGGGGGAGGAATGTATTTGATTATGCAACATCAAAATATACTGCACAGAGAAAATATTTAAAGCTGTTCATGGCACATTTAAATGTTGGCAGCTCCATGTGGCAACGAGAGGTAAGTGTTTGATTAAAAATAATATATATATATATATATATGGATTTGAATATCCAGAAATAACTAGGATGGGATGGCAGGAAGATAAGCAGTGAAAAAAATGCCATCTTTCCATGAACAGAGCCTTTGTTTCTTTGCTGCTTCAGAGACAGTTTGCATGTGTGCTCTGGGTTAATATGTTGTAAATGACAAGTAATAATGAGTGCAAATGGTGTTCGACCTTTGGAGAGTCCGCCGGCCTGTGAAGAGTCTCCAGCCCTGCCAGCTGCCCTTATTCTGTGTTTAGACACAGCGGACTCTCAGATCGAAAGGCTAACACCAGCATGCTAACATAGTCTCCAGTGCAGTGGCATTGCGAGCATGCTATTATTATTAAGCTAGTATAATGATTTCCATGTCTGCCATCTCAGTTTATCGTGATAAGCATGCTAACATTTGGCAACCTGCGCCAAACACAGAGTACTGCTGTGGTCTGATGATGTCATTTGGTTTGCAGGGACATTTTTAGCTAATGAAAAGTTAAGTGATGCCTGAACAAAACATTCAGGAGACAGTTGTTGGGCTACACCTATAGTTTCTGATGAGGACGATATTACAGTACTTCCAAAAGTGAAGCAAAAGCTTCTCGATCGCCCCCTACTGGCTGGCTGCCATATAGATTACAAACCCTGTCTCCTCCATGTTTCCTGATAGGAAACAAAAAACTCATCCAAAGTTAAATACATTTTTCTATAAGATGGTGTCTGTTTGTTGGTCTTTTAGGTTCTTATCTTATCACAGTAAAAATGTGTGTGTTTTAATTTGCTTCATTTCTGGATAGTCAGAGGAAACGTAGAGGTTTTGTCCATCCTACGGTCTATAGGATTACAGAAAAAGTGGTTTAATAGGTCAACGAATTCTGAAGGCAGCAAAGCTATTGTGGTTTTAATAGAGAAGTGAGGCAATAATTTGCCTTCTCCATCATTCTGTGAGAAATCGTGATCTAATTTTATCCTGCTCTCAGCATGAGTCTGTGAACAGCGGCGCACAGTGAGAGGAGCTGGTTACCTGGCTGAGAAGTTGGAGGTGTGCAGCCTGTCGCCTCCAGCTCTTCATCTAACAGCTCACAACTGTGGCTCCTCCTGACTCTTCCATCACTCCCTGAAAAATGTCAGACTGATCTGCTGTCAGAAATGACAGTTTGGAATGATAACAGTAGGAGAAAACCTCCCAGACGAAAATGTTACATTTCCTTTGATGACTCCGTGACAAAAGTCAGGTCTCCTGTTAAATGCTAGAAAATGTTCATTTTGCATAAACTGCAACTTAATACAGCATTTTTCCAGGAAATGTCTCCATAGACAAGCAGTTCATAAAACTGCAAATGTATTAACATACTTTCATCAGATTTCATTACTCTGCTACCTCAGTTGGTGATAGTGACTTGACAGTATTTACAGATTGGCACTTTCAGTATAATTGTGGGATTTATCTAATTATTTTTAGTACATGTCTTTTATGCTACTTTATACTGTGTCACTAATTATATGAAGATGGAAAGGTAACAGGAAGTCTGGTGAAGGGGCGGAGTCTATAAAAAGGGAGTGGGAAGTTCACTTGGGTTCTTCTTCCTGCATTGAGGCACACCTGAGAGAGAGAGCATGAGGCCAGCTTACGTTTGCTGTTTGAATTTTTTCTTGAATAAATAAACATGACTTTAATAGTTAAACTGCAGAACATGAAATATATATTTTAGCTCAGTATGTCAAACTATAAATGTGTTAAATAATTATTAAAATGTGTTTTCTTTGATCTTGGAGTGACTGCTGAGGCCGCTCAGCCAAGTAAGAAGGTATGTTCAATTATAATGGAAATACTTACTAATAGTGACTTTAACTAATCTGTTGGGCTGCGTTTCCTGTTTTGTTTCATGTGGGGGTTTTCTGCTATTAAAGGGGACTGAGCCTTGGAGGGGCCATTTTGCATGTGTGTTTGGGTATAATCAAATATCTGTGTTGCAGAAATTTGTTAAATTATTTTGACTAATAATGTCTGGCCCCTGACTGTTTATTTGTGGGGGTTTGTTCATGTAATATAGAATTAGATTTTTGTGTTAGTTGTGCACGATGCCCCATCCCACCT